CGAGATTGTGGGAGCGAGAGGGTCCCTTCTACCACCCATGGGGGGCGCTACGTATTCCTAAAGGAAAAACTCAGTAACCTTTTTTTTGTGAACCATGCCTTTAAGCACATATACATGGAAGCCAATGTGTTTTTCAAACTTCCGGCTCTACTATTAAGACATCTCATTAGAAAGTGAGCAAGTTTTATTTTTGGTTAAAACAAAGGAGATAAAACCTAATATGCTCGTAATTCCATAGTTCGGAAGTCCTCATTGTTCTCAGAGGCCCTTTTCCAGCATCCACTTGGCATCTGGGCACCAAGCAGCTCCTTTTCTCCAATAAATGTGGATAAGATTCCGTTTTTTTGGCGACCGACTATTTGTCAAAACGATTACCCGACTGATACGTGCTTTCAGCTGACCAAAATATCTGGGATCGCACGATTGTAGTTTGGGCGAGTAAGACGGTTAAATCTAGGTTTCGAATTGTAATAGCTGTCATCCATTTGTTGATAGTATCGTCTGATGAAACACTTTAGCACTGACGTTTTTTTGGAGTAGAGTCGCCGGAACATCATCATGGCTGCATCTTCTTGGGATGTGATGTTGGGGAATGAATCCTTGTCCACCTGGAACCACGTGACTCAGCAGGAATCACCTGCTTTCATCCAGGAATCTTAAAACTTTTTTAGAAAGTTCTGCTTCCGTGAAAAATCAAGGTCCTCTACACAATTTTCTCTAAGCGACCGCAACTTTTTGTGAATAATTCGGCCTAAGGTCCCAAGTATATGCCGTCCTCACCGGGAAGTTCGACAATAGTCCAATCCCTACGCTCAGCCATTTAGCGCTTAATTTCATCTTTCCGCTCTTGGAAATTGTGAACATTGTGAGCACTATTTCGACCTTTCCTTGTCTCCGTTCTTTCTTCCTATAACATCGATTCCTCGACAGTAAGCTTGGAAGACGTCGTGCTTGCGGATGGTGATCCGGCCTGCGACGAATTCGCGAATTTTCCTTTTACAATGCCAGAATTGAAATCCGCGTTGATTTTGGCTCCTCAAGTTTCTTTTCAGTTGTCGTGTACCTCCTACTGAAGGAGTGATGTCGAAACTGGGCAGTGACGTAACTAACTGTACTATTATGGCTTCCGATCAAAGCAATGTCGATCGCACTTCATCTTCTCTTCTCCCACTAACAAATATTTACACGCTTTTGCAAGTACTCCGGGAAAGAGGGTCTTTCAAAAAATTTCACCAGTACATTCAGAATTTTCCCAAATCCGATAACTTGAAGCTGGCTTTGAGCCTGCTTCACTTACCTTGAGTAAGGGTGAGATAGCATTTGTCTGTCAAAGGCGTGTGTACGAGTTTTGGCGTATTACCCTGGAATAAAGTTGTAAAGCCTTAGCAATCCGACAGCGTCGAAGAAAAGTGTTCCAGATCAATCGACTATGAAAATACTGGAAGCTTAGCATAAGGTTCCGGCGCGGTTTAAACTTTTCATGAGCCGCGTGTGGGATCTTACGCTGGCAAGGACCAAAGCAAAGTTTCAGTTTTACCTGGTATTCGTAGGTATAGTTGAATTCACTGTTCACTTGCCGTGCCACGACACCATCACCGACGAGGTAGAAACGAAGCTGACGCTGCCATGTCCAACATTGAGATGAACTGGAAGTCAAGAGAATTCATTGGACGATGACGGGTACGGTAGGGATGTGCCACCAAAAAATCTGTACTTGACAGTCCGAAAGTGATAACTCCTAGATTAGGTTACATGAACACTGTCCTGAGCAGTAGTTGGTATTGGCAAATCTTGGATTGTCAAATGGCGGTGTAACATTATGTCCAATCCAGTCATTCTGCTTAGAGAGACGACTTGCTAAGAATCCTCTCCTACATGAGCTAGGAAGATTGGAGCCTAACGATATGGTCTTTCAAACACCCTTATCGCTCGGGAGCCTGAGAGAGCGTGGTACGGAGGATGACAAACTGTGCCAGTTGTATTGCTAGTAACCTATTCACTCTCGACAACCCTTAGCCATTCTAAAATGCTAGCAATAACTCAGAAAACAGCAGGTCCCAAGCTCACTGGTCTATACAGTTACCGTGTTCCCATTCGACTATCCGCCCGCGCCATGCTCCCGTACCCCGCAGATATTGAAGTTACGAACCTGGCCTTGTTACTGATGAGTTGATCCACGACATCAATGTGGTGTATAAGGTCAAGAATCAGTGCCTTTAATTTGAGATCCAACACAACATCGCTGACTTTCGTGTTCGTGTACGTTTTCAGTTGCTCTTGTAGAGCTGCCTTTAGTTTGGCAAAATCTCTCGAGCCATCCAAAGCCTAGAATGAGTTCTATGTGAGATTCAATTCAACCATTAGGTGCAGTACCGCTCAGCACAGCGGCTGGCAAATCTTCAATCACGTAAAAGAGTTGCCAAGAGGAAGAAGAACAGAGAAAAAAGGGGGAAACCCCCAATAGCACTCAGGAACTAACCTGCTCACAATCCCGACAGAAGCGAACTTGTTCGGCAAGACAGAGGACTTGCGACGGATACCTAGAAAGTGCCTACCTATTACCTATTAGTAGAGAACTGATCGAATCAACTGAACACATGGCTTACCTGGCTGGATCCACATTTTCTTCGCGAATTGCTTCTACTGACAGTTTTTTCAGGGTTGTTCGCATTTCGTCAGAAAGGTTTTGGAGCCAAACCTAGATATAAACAATACAGGACCTCCCTTATAATTTCCCGAATGGCGCTTACATCACATTTGAAGACAGAAAGGATCTTACCTCAACCTGTGGAACAACTCGTACAGGACGACTAAGTGGTACGTGTTCTCCTTGAACAGATAGCATTGCGGAAATTGTCTCATTGTTAGCACCAAACACAACCTTGTCGATCCCCTAAATTGATTATTTTTAAATCTTTTTATTTCTCTCTAGATCTGAACTCTCATGAAATCATTTCCCTAAGAAGCCGCTTCCCTTTTGCAAGAGGGAATGCACCATTCATAACATTCAGCTGGAGACATTTATGTATTCCTACTTCTAAAACTCAGACTTTGTGCAGAAATCAACTACTATTAGGAAAAGGAAGGAAATGGGATCCAAGAGGATTCAAAGAAAACCTAGCCGTCTAACCATAATCGTTCAGAATGAGATAAACGGATCTCACCTAGGGAATTAACAAAGACGATACAGAGATGAACGTACATATAGGGTGCTTAGAGCTCATCACTAATACAGAACCCAACCTGGTACAGGATATAGACTAAGTCTTAGAGAGCAGCATTTGCAGCGTCCTCATACGAGTAAACTAGTTGGGGAATGAGGAATAAAGCAGACCTGACTGCAAGCTATATTGTGAAGTGTTCTCCTGCAGGGGGACGGAAAGGGTTAGCACAAAGTTAGGAGAATGAGTTTATTCCGTTCTAAGCTTTTGTTCAAAATCGGAAGAAGTGACTTATCGGATTTCAAACAAGCGTGTAAACAGATATATTGTTGAAGGAACTCACTGAGCAAAGCAAAAACCCATTTGCTGTTTTCAGAGCTTTTCAATGTTCTTGTTATCTAACCTGGAAAAGTTTCTTCAAATGCGATTGAATCACTGTTGGATTCGTGGATTGTCCAAGAATTTCTAACAGATCGTCATCGCCCAAAAAGTAAAACCTCGGAAACGCAGAGCGTTTTTCCTGAAAATATTGGTCTTTACTATAACTGTTCTAATATCATGTGGCTGTGAGAAAGGTCCAAATAGGTAAAGTGGTTTATGATATAGCTAAAACAAATTGCCCAAGCAGGAGATTCAATGGAATCTCGCTCGGGTCTATCACGTGTTAGTCCCGTCTTGGATGTACTTTTTGGGCAGGAATGGGAGGTCATATGCAATGGGACCACCAATTTTTGAGAGAACACTCTCTCACCTGGTCACAAGAAATCAAGTTAGAAATCAATAAACCTTTCATATCTCACCTCCAAAAATTGATTGAGCGCCTTCTGACACCGGTTCAGCTGGTCGATGATCTGTTCAAGACTTTTCCTTAGCGAATGTCGACTACATAGGGAGACCAGACGAGCGTCTCGAACCACATCTAGTGCAAAGTAAATATTTCTTCGAGATGAGCAAGAGCCAGACGTCGAAGTAGAAAAGTGTAAAATTGCGAAAAAGGATTAAAAGAGTTCAAAAACACCTGCTAGAATAAGTCGGAACTCGCTATCCACACGAGCAAAGCGGCTTGCTTCAGCTGGCAGTGCACCGCGGCCAAAAATGGGCTCCAAATAAATCCATTTTCTTTGGATGTCGTTCATTTGTGGGAGATAGACGTCTAAGTCGGAGAGCCTAGAAGTTGGAGTAAGTCAGGTTAGGCCAAATAAGTTCAAAAGGAATTGACTAAGTGCAATGGAGTTGTATTAGGGGTAACGGACAATCGGTGTGGGAGGATATGCTGGGCGAGACCAAGACCTTTTGGTGCTGATGAGCACCCCTATGGCAATCAGAGGGCCTTTCAAAGGCTCAGCCTTCATATCGTTTTACATTTTTCTCCCGGCATCGCTCAAATTTTCAGTTGGTGTAGGACGTCACTGCGATAGCCAAGAATCACCACTGACTATCTAATAAGAAGGAGAAATTCCAAACTTCAAGTGATGCCCATACCTTGTCTCCCAAACATTGGTCTTATCGCTGAACTGAGCATAGAAAGGTGAGTTCTTCAGCGATTGTAATAAAGCCTGACTGTCTTTCACCTAAATCAGAACTGTTTTCAGTTTTTTCCGTCAATGAGGTGTAGCTTTGTATATGAGTGGAACTGAGTGTCAGAAATAAATGAACTGTTCAAGCCAGGGGACATTAACTGCTGCTTAGTGTAACATGAGGAGTTCTGGCCACTTACTGAATTGATCGATTCCTTCCAGTCACGAATAACTTTCATGTTGCTACCATTTGAGTGCTTGTAGTCAGAAAATGAGAACTCCGCCTAAAATCAGGAAATTTCCATAAAAAAGTAGCCTGGCCCCCATTGCCGGTTTGTGTTATTTTATTTACTTTTTATTTCTTTATCGCTTCGAGCATCCTATACAACACGGAGTAAGGCTTCCTTCCCGTCAACCAAAAAATTAAAAGGAAGACAGGTAAGATGTCGACAACAAAAAAATTAACAGTTAGTCACATAGTAAAGGTACTATTGAACTCAAAAATTCTATCAGTGAAATAATAATTCATTTGAAAAGTTATAGTGATCGATTCCTTTAACTCCCACCACAAAACTGAAAGGCTACTTTACTTGTGAGCCGTTCCATTTCAAAATTCTATTTTTGTTGGTTTTTGGTATTTGGCAAAGTAGAGGCTAACCTGAGCTGCCCACATTTCGAGCTCCTGAATTGCTTCTCTGATTGTCACCTCTCCTTGAGCTTTCGCATTCAGCGCCTTCAGCTGTTCCACATTTTGGATGACATTGGGAGCAACAGAGATCAAGTCGCCAAACCGTAGCTTCTCCAGAGTTGTACCTCTGAATAGAAAAATATATTTTTACTAATGCGAGTCACATAACTGGTTCTGAAAGAAAGAACTATGGCGTCAAGACATTTTCTGCATTAAGGCAAAAGTCACTTTCATTTGTAAGAAGGACGATTACATACCTGGGCAGCTGAAGAAGTCGAAACATCTCCAACCAATGATCTGTACTCAGCATCTCACCCCGACAAAACTTCAGGCAACCACTGAACTCCTGTAAAAGAAAAGCTGTCTTAACGAAATTTTGGGAATAGTCCTAACTAAAACACAACCAGTTTATGGAAGTTCGAGCACCCGAAATTTTTCCAGTCAATTTGACTTCCCCAGATGGTGTTCTGGCTTTCCTTGAACAGTAAGAAAACATTTCCATGTTCACACCAAAACCGTTCCGTCCCTTTAGCCCAGCCGTAGAAGTGAGCTCCGCCAACAAGTAATTCGAAGTTGCCCTAGCGTCATACCGTTGGAACCCTGTGCAGTGGTCTTTAGCACTTGATAACCAATTCGGTCTTGGTGGTGGTCGAACGGATACCGTACTAGCTAAATGACCTGCAGAGGGGTTCAAGGATTGGCGGGCCAGGATTTTCCAACATTCGACTTACTTCATACATTGAAGCACCAACTCGATAAAGTCTCGATTCTTACCCTGAACGTATCGATCTCCTTCAACAGCCGAACACTCATATGAGTTTGTTGCGCCGATTTCAATTTTTCCATCCATTTTTGCAGTAACTCGTCAAATAAGTACGTCTTACTTCTGAAACATGGGAAATCATAATGGGAAATATACGTCTTTATGGTTAGCCTTGATTCTATCGAATACATTTTCTCAATGACCTGGTTAAGGCAAACCAGGGGCAAAAACGAGGGACGGGAAAAGAAAATAGGTGAGAACGTCTCTGTTACGATGTCGTCAGTAGCCAACTGTGACCGTTCTAGCAGTCATGCTTGCGTTATGAGGTAAAAAAATCATTCACAAAGTTTCCATATGAGGACATGAAGAGTAAAGACCGCCCACGCGGTCCTATCAAGAAAAATTACTAATTCTAGAAAAAAACAATAAAGTCACAATCAAGATCATCACCTGAAGACGATCCATTCCTCATCGGCGAGTGTTTGGAGCTCTGCATTGAACTCTTCGTAAATTACCCAGTTGTTCTGAAAATCAGAGACTATTTGTGGGAAGTGTGATATTCTAACCGAATTCACAGATTCACTGGATAGCGTGCCAATTGGTCACTGGTAAAGGAGAAATAAAAACAAAAAATAAGTAGAAAGTAAAAAATCCAAAAAGGAATAAGGCGAACATAAGAGGTCAACGTCTGCAAGAAAAACTCCCATGGGACGGATAAACATAAACAAGGCAATCTCAAAAGAAAGAGCCTTTCGAATTACTATATTCCCTTTCCTCAGTAGGTGAAATGGATAGTAAAGTTGGAAGCGAGAAGTGAGATCTTTACTGATGCTCACCTCGTACTCTTGAATATCCGCTCCCAGCTCATCCAATACAAAAAATTCTGGCTTCTTTAGATCGAACTGATCGCTCTCCTTCCTTCAAAAAATTTGAAGTATGCCTAATTCAAAAATTCACCAACGATTGCCCCATTAGGTAGTCTAAGCCCTACGTACTCAAGTTTTTCCCTTTTAGCAGTCAACTCGTCGTATTCCAGTCGCTTTTCCTTGATGAATTCGATTGCTTTGAGCATTGCCTGCCTGAAATCAAAGAAACACGCACATCAAACTCGGCTCGATAGCCAATACTCTTTCGACTTTTCACTCCTGTACTGAACGTGGTCTCACCGATCTCCTTGCAGTGCATCGCTTTTCGGTTTGAATTGATTCCATCTGGCTAAGAGCTTTTCTGATTCATCATTCAATGCTTTCACGCGAACATCGACGTTGGATTTCAGCACTTCCACCTGGAAAAAATGCTCAGATTTGTACCTCTCCAGAAAAACTTATCTCAGTATTTTTATTTTTTCATTTCATCCCGCTTCAATTTTCCCAGATTGCATATCTTTATGTGCCTCATGAATATCTCTTGACTAAGGTTGTGCTGTACAAACGGAGTGCCACGGTTCAAAAAAGCTGGTCGATCACCCCACTAGTTTAAAAGTTGCCCTTTCCTGAGGTATGGAGAAGTTTCCCGCAACCGATGTGACCATTCGCATGTGCCCTGATGTTCTTCGACGGAGGTACAAATTCCCTTCACAATTTGCTTCATCATAGCATTGCGCATATTCCCCTGACATTGCATTCTACAGGAGGAAAGTAGGTTCGTGTTTTGACAACGGATTTTTAATAGCTTTTTGAGAGTTTAACAAAGGGACGACAGTTTTGAGATCTTCGTTAGCTTCCCCTGTAGGGCCTTGCCTGCAGAAGGAGAAGAGCTTAGAATTGAGGACATCGAAGGTAGCCCCATAAGGTCTCCATGTTCAATGTTTTGAGAAAAAACAGGATTCGCTGTTTTTTTTGCCCACCTGCTCTTTGATCATCATCTGATGGCTGTCCAACATCAATTCGAATTTCTCCCATTGGTCGGTAAGTGAAGACATCTGATCGACTCCGCTGCCTGCCACCGATCGTAGCAGAGTGTGCTGCTCGTTCAACACTGCCCATGAAGCTTTTAACTGAATCCAAATATGGTATGGAAGGCAGCGATTCAGAAACTTGAAAGTCATTTCCTCACCTCCTTATTAGTGCGATTATATTCGGTGTGACGAGCGTTCGCCTCCGCCACTTCATCTACGGATTGAGGACGTGAGCTGAGAACATTAATTGCCTGAAGAATACAGATCTTTCTTCCTGATATACTTAAGAAAACTCAATGTTACTCCGCTCTTTTTATCGGGTATGCCATAATATCGGGAACTTTATCGTTATTAATCGTTAACGATCATTCAATATCAATCATTTTTAAGATTCGCCAGTTCACGGCACCGCTCAAGAAAGAGTGCGTCAAAAATGCAAATGCAAATAACAGTATTCAGAAACTTCATGGTACCTGAGTGAGGAACTGCTGAATGGCTTGTAATTTGGTATTGATGCTGAGTCGAAGTGTCCAGGTGAGAGTGTCAAAAAGACGTTGAAGCAGTTCATCTATGGCCGATTTCGCTCCAGCCGTACTCACCACGATACATTCAAGGCGAATTTCACTACAAGTCATCGTTCAAAAGTGCGAATGCGACCATATGGCAGTATCATACATAATATGTATAGCATCGGATCCCGCATAGGTCAACCCTCCATCGGTTACTAGTAAGAGACTCGTCTGAGAGGATAAAAACACTAACGTGTTAAATTCCATGTTCTCTCATCTTGAAACCTCGGCATGTCTGTTGTACTTGAAACTGATAATTTTGCTTCTGCCACGAGGTTGTTAGGTGGGAATCTTTATTCTGGCCGACGTTTCGACGGACTCGTCGTTTTCAAAGGCCTGAAAATGGCTCAAAGCTTTTGATTGCACACTACCCCACCAAGCGCCTCCTCCGCTCTAGCATTTCTGACCTTCTATCAGGAACGCACGAAAAATGCCCAAAAAATAAAAAGATAAGCTCACCTCGCTTCCACACCGCGAAGTGTAGCACTACGCTACACGGTTAGTACATCAGTAGCGAATGATCTACTTCGCTGTCCTCATGCAATAATATTATTATTGCGGATCAGCACGTTCGCTGATTATGGAGTTAACTCGCAGTGTTGCATAAATGGCAAGAGATCATTTGTGATTGTGACACACTCATTTCGGCTGTTCATATCTGGATTTCTAGCTGAAATCCAAAACGCTTCCAACACTTTCCTCGACGATATTTCCGCCTCGTGAGCCAATATTGTACACCTGATATTGAAATCATTGCCACCATGCTGTTCCACTCTGTGCTTTCCTAACGGAGTTGACACATTACTGCGCCGTTTACCAGCAAGATGCTCTTTGATCCGTACTGATAAAACTCTTCCAGTTTCCCCTATGTAGCTTGAATTACATGCCTCACATTGAATCTGATAAATTACGCCTGCAGAAGCGCAATCTCCACTCTTCCCGTTTGGACATGTAACGCAACCCTCTGTCAAGCACTGCCTATCGTAGAGTCTGTTCCTCACAAGTTGGCGTTTGATG